GCCCGTGCCTGACCTGCCGTGAGCACCGGGCCTGCAGCAGACGCATCGGCACAACTGGCCCTGCAGGCCCACCAGTGAACTTTATTTTTATGGCATTTCTCACACCTCACGACCGCGCCGTCTGTTCAGTTCGCAGGCACCGACGGTCGGTGCGGCTCCCCCCGCTGCAGCGCCGTGACACACCAGGCGACGCCAGCGGACGGGCACCTTCAGCCACCGCCCCTGCGTAGCTTTATGAGTTCTCCGCTCCAGTCGATGGCAGTCGAGTCCTCCCTCGACCAAATTCCCCAGATCCCACCTGGTTTTTCTCTCTCTACAGGAAAGTAATCATGTAAAGCAGTTTTTAATATCTTTACCGCTCCCCACTACGGATATAAATAGCAGTAGGAGCTGGTGAGGATTCTGTCTAGAAATTTAATCTTCTGAGAAACTCATCTGAAACTCTGTTCTGAAGAGCATTGCTTCAAAAACATAATTATATTTTTCTTTTGGTTTTTTTTTCAGATAGTGAGGGCAGCTGGGTCAGCTCATGCTTCAGTCTGTTACACTAGTTCAGTTTCCATACGATCAAGCAACATCTTGGTCTTACTGACCAAAAGTCTAGACAAGTTACTTGATTCCCTCAGGTGAAAAAAACTTAAAATTTATTTCTCAAATCTGGGATGCTCATTCTCTTTTCGTCCAAGTAATGTAAATGTTTACGGGATGTGTGTCTTTGTTACAGTAGACTGACACACGTGAGTGACATTACGCGGGTGCTGTGTGTGCGCGTCCAGAGCCTTGGGCTGCCTTGCTCCACACCCTCGACGTTGCCGTCGATCAGTCGTCTTCGCTGGATCCTGTCGCCTGTTCACACTGCCTCATTTCGGAAAGCTCAGATCCGTCCTTCTGAAATGAATATGTTCCAAAACGGAACAAAAGCGTGTCCCTTCGTAGGATAAAACACATATTCTTGTTTTTAGCTTCCGTCCTGCTGTAAATTATCTGAAAGTGCTTAGCTGCTGGTACTTCTTTACTCTAAAACTTTAGTTGATGAAGAACATGCAAGTAGTGCCTGAGCTGCAACTCTCGTGCAGGAGCTTTCGATGTATTTGCGTCGATGAAGCCCTCGCTGGGTGTATCATGTCTGTAACGCCGAGTCTATACAACGTATCTAAATGTTCCATGCTGGTGGTGGATTTCTTGGTCCTTTAGGTTTTGAAAATCTATTTGCGAAGCCTAGGAAGAAATTTCTTTTTTTAATGCAAGAAATTCTGTATGCTCTAGATGTTGATTATGTAATTCCTTAAGATAATATGGTATTTGAAAACACTTGCAATTTCAGTTCTTTCCCAGACTTTAAGATAGGGTAGACTCAAAGCAATATCCTGTAGTTGTAGGTCAACTGGTGCAGGAACAGTCAATGTGGCAAATACTGCCACTAGAGCATGAGTATCACGATAACTCGATTTTATGCCTAACCTAATAAAAGCCTAGTCTCTAGCAGAACAATTTAAAATGGAAAACAAAGTATTTCTCCTCTCGTATTACACAACACGAGGCAGCAGCTACGGCTTTGTCTTCCGCTCTCTCTGTTGCCACACAAAGGCTTTCAGATACAGGAAAGCCAAATACATGCCTCAGACTTCACACACTGAGAAACGTTCATCAGAGTGGGCTGCGGCGTTTGTGGTTCCCACCCTTATCTGTTCTTTAAAGAGTTCACAAATAAAGTTGTAAATGTGTAACAAATAATAAACATTATCTGTAATGTTTGTCATTTCCTAGCATTCAGCCTTGTACCTGCATTTAGACTTTGAAAAAACAGGTACTTTGTAAAACACTAAAAGAGAAAACATGCACAAAGAGGAAAACATACCAAAGCTAAGGAAAGACCTTGCCTGGTTTGACGGGGCAGATTCTGGTGGTTTTGTCAGTGAAGATGGACCACAGATGCCTAGAAATAAAAATCAGACTGAAGCAGTTAGTCACAGCAGGTCGCAGTGATTCCCTGAAGAGCTAGACTGGGACACGCCTGCGGGAAAACACATCCCGCCACATGCGCGCCGACACGAGGCACCGACGCGCTTTCAGCACGAGACAGAACACTCGGGTACTTCAGTACCTGGAGCGTGAGTGCTGCACGGCTTTAACAGCGGGGAGCGAGTGCACTGCTGCAGCCCAGTCCCCTGGGAGGATGTTTGCTCAGAAGTTCTCGAACAGTTTTTAGCAGTCCTATTTTTAAGATAAGCATTTTAATTTTAGATGAAAGGGAACTTAATAGGCTGGGCTCCAAACGGACTGGGCAGAATCCAGGGTGGGGCTCATATTGCCTGCAGCACCCCGGCCCCCATTTCTAGAGTATTTGCGCCACAACGCTGGCTTGAATGAGCTGAAGAATTTGATACTTTGGGTGCACCCAAGCTGTCCCCAGAGTACCAGGAGGGCACCACAATATCCTTCAGCTGCTCCTGAAACAACTGTTACTATCCAGAGCAGGTACTCAGCCAGCCGGCGCAGCTCGGTATGTCCTGTGCCAGAGCCTGCAGACATGCAGGGCACGTCACATCTGACACGTTCAGGTTCTTGAAAATTCAGTCCAACATATTTCTTTATATACTTGCTTAAAGCCATTAGGAAGATGCACGTTACCCTGAAACACTTACTCTTTTTCACATTTTTCAATATTTTCAAGCTCTGTAGAGGAGAAAAAGAAAAAAAAAGAAGCCTTGTTGGAAAAAACTGTAGCAAGCAGTAACAGATCAGCAACTATGATCGAGGGAATTTACTGATAAATACATGTGTGACCTTCTCAGATTCTTCTTCTCACCCCCTCCATTTTCAACAGCTTTTGTTTTGTCTTTTTTCTCTTACCTTACTTCTCCTGAAGCATTTCATAGGCCCTTTTGATGATGTTCCGGGAGCGTTGTTCCCCAAGCCCAGAGGACGCGTAGAACATCTTGCAGCAGGCTCCAAGCCTGGGGAGCGTGCATGAGAACATTTTCAGTGGTCATTCAAGAATCCTCCTGCTTTTTTCTAAGTGCTTTGTTGTCGCTTTTCAATTCATCTAGTTCTGCCGATCTAGAAATTTCCAGCAGGACCCCTGGTTGAATTTCCTTTCTTTCTGCCTTCTGCACTCGCCTGCAGTTAAGCCCTGAAGCACTACCACTGGTAACGCTTTGCACAAGTGGGCGACGATCCCTTCAGCTATCTACAGGTTCAGGTGTAAGCACAAAATCTCAGTTAGGTGCCAGGAAAAGAACTCAGCACTTACTTGCTGCATCATCAAGAACAAATGACTCCGGGGTTCTTTCAGGAAGCGGGGGAGGAGAGCTAGAGTGATCCCGGGTTGTCTCTAAGAAAGCAAAGATAAAAGAGTTGGTTACCTACCTTTGTATACCCCCCCCCACCAGTTCGCTGAGAGGTCCGCAGCACTCCAGCCAGCACGGGTCAATCGTCTCAAAGGAAACACGCAACGTGCAGAAAAAAACATGACAACCCTCAGCCTGAGGAGGCTGCAAGGAAAAACAGAGTCATGTACAGGGCGAGACAGGAGCCGACTGGGAAATACAAAACTGCCAGTTTGTTTGGTTGCAGAACCGTCTAGTTCTGTTTAGAACTATTTGGTTGCAGAACTATTTAGCAATGCAGAATTTCCATTGGGCTGAGCACAGATCCTAAAGACATTTGCTAAATATGGTAAAGCGTCTTCAGTAAAAAGATCTTATTTTCAAAGATAGTTTAACCCAGCATTAAGCTCATACCTCTCTGTGGGCTCCTAAGCTTCACACTCTGAAAAAAAACCAAGGAAAGTGTGTGAAATTCCCACAACCAAAGGTCGTTCTCCTGTGCACAAGCAAGTCAGAGAAGAGGAGGGAGTTATGTTATGTGCAAACGCCCTCCCCCTACACCTCCACGCTCATATAAGGGAAGATGGACTTGCGCCTCACTGTTTCACTTTATAAAGCTATAATTCAATTATGGGATGATTAAGCGATGCCTCAATTTTGCTCAGCTCCTGCCCGTAAGCTGCATGAACCTCAGTGGACCACTGACATCATGGCTTCATTATCCCTCTCTAAAAGAGGGACAATATTTCTACTACCTTGCATGGAATTTAGGACCACAAAAAATAATGTTTGGCGTAAGGTAAGTGTTGATAGGGAGGAGCCTGACTGAGACCACATCTTCCTCCCAGTCCTGAACCCTGAAATAATTTCTGGAAGGCACACAGTGCCAAAACTAGGGTCTCTCTCGGAAAGGAAATGATTGGCACAGTGATAGCGCTGAGGAAGAGATAAAATGCCACTTGCTTACCTTACATGGGCTCAGTCTCATCGAGTCGTTAAACACCTCCGAGTGAGACTCACCACTCCACTCCAGAGAGGTTCTGATATTTGTGTTTCTGGCTGAAAGCGGAAAATCAGAAGTGGCCAGAGGAAGCTGTCCTAGAAGCAATGGAACAAAAGAGAGGTCATTTCTCATCCAAGGCAGCCAGAGCAAAGGCACTGCTCGATGCTGTGGCAACTGCACGAGGGTGGAAAGAGCCCTCAGAGCACTTCTCAGCCCCTGCTTCGTTAAAAGTACTTACCAGATTCATTGGCCACAATGAAAGATTCGGGGGTTCGCTCGGGCAGGGGCGGAGGCTCATCGTCATCTGGCTGTGGCAGGGTGGCTAATTTGGAAGAGGTGCACAGGTCACCTGCATGGCGACCATCCTGCCCAAACGCCAAAGGGCGGCACTCGCCTCGCCCTCCAGCGTGCGTGACTCCGAGTGACAGAGTTCTGCTCGCCGCCGTGCTGCACCGCTTACTCGAGGGGGATCTCCTCT